CAGCCATTTTCCTTTCAGACTAATAGCATACTTGTACACATATTTCCAGTGATCCTTCCAATTAGTTGAACAATTCTATTTTTTGTTTTTTAAAGTATCTCAGGAGCCTAAAGAAATCTCCCCTAGAGTAATGTGGTTTCACAGAAGTGCACTAACCTATGCAAGAAAAAAGTTCTGCTCTCWAAAAGCAGATTTTTTTTCATGAGAGAAGGTACTGCATGTGGCATCAGGACTACAATTCCTGCAAATTGAATTGTTTCAGACAGAACAAGGCTGATAATGTGATGGGTCATTTCACACCAGCAATAATCCCAATGTCGATACTGCTGAGGTTTGTGTAGAAACAGCACCAATTGATTATGTATGTACATGTTGGTTATAACATGAACATGTACACATACACTATGTTGCCAAAACTATTGGCTCACCTGCTTTGACATCCCATTCCTAATCCACAGGGCTCARTATGAAGTTGGTYCACCCTTTGCAGCTAGAACARCTTCAACTCTTCWGAAGGCTGTYCACAAGGTTTAGGAGTGTTTATGGGGATTTTTGACCATTCTTCCAGAAGCACATTTGTTAGGTCACAYACYGATGTTGGACAGATATACTCTCAGTCTTTGCTCTAATTCATCCCAACCGTGTTCTGTCAGGTTGAGGTCAGGACTCTGTGCAGACCAGTCAAGTTCATCCACACCAGACTCTGCCATCCATGTCTTTATGGACTTTGCTTTGTGCACTGGTGCACAGTCATTTGGAAAGGTGAGCAAATACTTTTGGCAATATAGTGTAAATATAGCGAACAGATCTGCTGAACTCCTCTAAATAGATGCAGGGTTTCCCAGCAATCGTGGGGACATCATAAAGACGTGGTCAACCTCTTTTTGTAATTTCTGTCATCAATTCTGGCATGAAGAGTAATTCCAGAGAAAGTACATGAACACAAATCTTCATTTTTCCATCAGTGGGCAATTTTAGAATCAGAAAACAAATAAGCTAACATATCTCTACTATCATACTAAAATTGGATAAAACTAGTAATGTTATGATTTAAATTAGATGCCGTTTTGGCTCAGTTTTACATCCGAGCAGCTTGTAGAGAGGCAGCTGGGAAAACCAGCAGCTCAGACTTTGCATTTTGCTTTTAGTCTTGGCAGAATCAAGATGTTCCCACATTACACAGAAAAGTAAATTGGTAAGTAAACAAAAAAAGTCATTAAAAAAAGCAGCCTGAAAAGACCCATATTGTATTGTATTGTGGATTGTGGCGCACGCATAATTTGTTGGTTTCAACTTGATCTCTGCTCCRTGCCATGTTTACAGTATTCCTCTTCTGGAATATCATGCTTTTATGTTTGCTTTGCGACAATCTAATTAAAGTGAATTTCATTTCAGAGTTGTTATGAGTATCACCTTACAGCTGCAAAGGGACCCTGCAGTAAAAACCGGGGCCACCAAGACATGTTCTACAGCCTTGCTCCCACAGCTAATGTGATTTAACTAAAGTTCAGTCCTTTACCCAAACAGCACCTCCGTTGATCATATTACTACAAACCAACTGCCAGGCTGACAGCAAATATGGAGAGAAGAATCCTGGGCAAATGCTCAACTTGTTGGTGTCTGCCAGAATATTTGGAGTTATAACCGAGTGCCCCGGAGATTTTATTTTATTTTTTTGGTAAATAAAATTGCTGGATTCACAAGAGACTAATTAAAAACAAATGGACAAAAAGCAGCAGATACGTGATCTTCTGACATTTACTTTCTAGTTATGAAGAAAGCTCTTTAAAGATTATTTGTTCTGTTACGTAAATCAGGTGTGTATTTTTTATGTACTTGTAAATATTCACTCCGGTAGAACCACAGTCCCCCAAACCAGCCACTGAAAAGAGACTTTCTGTACACTTCTGGTGCTGGTCCCAAGCCCAGAGAAATGTTAAGGGTTGCGTGAGAAAGGAAACTTTCTGGTAATGATGTAAAATGTGACGTTAAGGTTGTCCCAATTTTGATGGCATTATTAAGAAATCATCTTAGGCGTATTTTTTTTCCTAATTAACCCAGCAAGCACGGTTCTTTTTTGTACTGTGGGAGAAAACCGTGGAAGCCAGAGAAAACCCACACATGCAGGGGGAGAAGATACAAACTCCACTCTGGTGATGGACAGCAGTGAAGCGCTCCTGCCAGTTGTGTTGGAAATGTTCTGTCTTYTTGGAAGGCTCGGCACTGCTGCTTRCTGATCAAAAAGCTTGTGGCGAAAATTTATGCTTAATAAAAGTAATTTAATATGCTCATGATTTTACAATGTTTACATTTTTTTCTCAAAACTAAACTTTGGATTTTGAGTTTGTAAGAGAGTAATGAGGTGGTAAAACTAAAAAAAAAAAACTTGGATAGGAAGATATAACTGTTAGTT